ATTGAATTGAATTGAATGTTAAATTTTTTTTAGAATCACCACATTTATGATCCATCAGTCCTTGGGCAATTCTTTAAGAAAATTAAAGGACACTTATTTGGTGAACACTTTTAAAGGTTTAAATACAGTTCAGCATGTCCTTTTATTCTCTTCCTGCAGTGCCGAGTGCACCTCCCCAGCTGTCTATAGCCAGCACCTCCCCCACTGACATCAAGCTGATGTGGCATCCATTGTCCTCTCAGCACAGTCGAGGAGCTGTCACTCGCTACCGCATTGAGTACAGCACCCTGGATCAGGGTGGGTGACCCCTACTGGTCAACAAGTTGTCCTTAAACTCCAGTGAAAGCACACTCAGTATAATTCACGAGATTTACCCATTTTGGTTTCATATACGTTGATTTCATATGAGTTATTCATAGACAAGGATAAGTTTTGACAGTCTACTTTATGAAATTGTGTTTCTGTTCTGTCTCTGAAAAATATTTCATAATGACTGATGGAATGAGTGCAGAAGGTCAGACATGTATATGATAGGCTTAAGAATATTGAGACAATGCAAGTGTTCTCCAAAATCTTTTTTCCTGAATACCCAGCTCTCCAGAATGTACCAGAAGATAAAGTTCACTCTGAATGAAACATGAACTGAAGAAACCGTTTGTCTTTTTTGCCCTTTATATATAGATTTGTGAGTGTGTGCGTATTGTGTGTTTCCACAGTGGAAAGTGTGTTCTCAGTTGAAGTGGGGGGTAATGAGACTCAATTCACACTAAGAGAGCTGCAGCCCAACCAGGCCTACCGACTGAGGATTGCAGCGGCAACGGCCGTTGGTTTTGGGGTTCCTTCTGAGTGGGCCCAGCACCAAACATTAGCCCACTACAACCACAGTGACCACAGCATGGGTGAGGAAGACCTGGCTCTCTTTAAACGTTAATCATTTTGCTTTAGCAAGGGTTCCCACTAGTCTTGCTGTGACATTTTTGGAATTACATGGAATTTTGAGAGTTATAATCTATACAGGCAATGTAACATCTCACTAAGACACTTTGTAGGCATATTACATACAATAAGCTAATGGTAATATATAATGTGAAGTGATCTGTGAAATATTGTGGAACCTCCTAATGAATGAGCCACGCTGAATTCTGAAATAACAGTATCAAGAGAATAATTAGGTTGTTTTCTCATAAGTGTCTGTTGTGAAAATTAGAGGTAGGCCGATCTATCCCAAAATATTGATACTTCAGATACTACGTCTCATTTTTGAAGATCAATTCCAGTGTCAGTAGGTTTGATACCATAAAGGGATCAGTTTCTCTCTTATATGTTGTACCCATTTGTATTTCATCACAGAGGAGGAGGTCTGTGTAAACATACTCCTTTCTTCTCCACTGCTGTTGCCGTATTGTTTGTGTGCAGTGCATTCACACAGGCACCCTGACTGACACAGACACTCATGGCATAAAGAAATCAAAGTATCATTTGGAGTTATTTGACAGCTGTGAATGAAAGCGCTGTGAACTGCGGTGTGTGTTGGAAGGCTTTCGGGGTTGACAAACCAGTGCTCTTAGGGAAGGAAAGAAGAATGGTTGAGAGTTGTTTGTGCTTTTGTTCAGTTTTAAAGATGATTTTTTCTCCACGAATGAATGTTTTCACTTTGTTTATTTGTTCAATTTGTTCAACAAATTCAATTTAAAATAATAATGAAAAAATTATCATACAAATGATAATTATCATTTGTAAAAAGTCTGAATTCATACTGTCCGCAACAACTTTGGATCGATCAGGGCTATGCTACTTAGTTCTTAGTTAGTAAACTAAAACTGATAGCTGGAATCAAGTAACAGACACATATTTACAGCTCTTACCATTATTATTATTTCAACTTCCTCTCTTACTTTTCTCTGAGAAATCTCCTTTTTGTGCAGTCCAGACAAATGGGGGTGGTATATATAACTACTTGCTTGTATGAGGTGGGGGAATAGTGACATCTTTTCCATCCAGAAAAGCTTGCAGTTGCGTTCTTTGCTCTTCTTTCAGTTAAGAAATACTGCCAGCATCTACGCTAACCTCTTTAGCATTGTTGTTTTCCAGCAGTCACTACTCACACACGTCGTCACACCACACCTGTAGCTCATGCCGTAGCTGCCAGTAGTTTCTTGTGGGATGCTGAGTGGTGTGAACCACTGTGATTAGACACAAGCACATAGATTGAAGCCTGGCAAGATGGAATCCAACTGCCTCACAATTCCTTTTTTGGTTTCAGTGATATTCGCCCCTACTGAGCTGAAAGTCAGAGCCAGAGTGAACACACTCAATGTGACGTGGCATCCCTCACCCAATCACACGCTGGTCTCTGGGTACAAGCTCTCCTGTCGAGAGGTTGAAACTGACAAATCAGCCGCTGGAGAAAGGACAACACAGACCCACACCATCAGGCTTCGTAAGAAGGCCAGGTATCATCTCCTCACCGGGCTGGGTAAGTTGTTGAGAGAAGCCTCTTCAAATGGAATGTGCATTCAGTGTATTTTTCTAACCTTGCATTTAGCTACTTAAATATTGAATCAAATGAGGTCCCACTTTGCTTTAGAAAAATGTTTGATAAAATTAAGTACGCTATTTTCGACTTCTAGTATACTCAGCTTTTGGACAATATTGTTCACAAGCCCATATACTTTGGAAAAATAAGGAACAGAAATACACAGATACCACCCATGAAAAATAATGTTTAGCTTTTCACTCAAAAGCTGTCTTGCAGGTTAAAGCATTTGAATGCAGGTTGTAGCACAGTTGCCATTTGTGGTTTTCAGGATACAGGTACGGCATCTAGAGGGACAATACATGGATTAACTGTAATTAGACTACATCTAGGCCCTAATAGCAATACTTAAATGTTTTGTGAGAGGCTGCCTGGGTTTTTACTCACTGTTTGTTTGTGTGTCCCTGACCGGCAGTCCCTGACCGGCAGTATGAGGTGAGGGTTTGGGCATTCAACAAGCAGATAGACGGAGCAGCTGTTGTGTGGAAGGGAAGGACAGACAAGGCCCACGACAAAAGTAAGTTTTCTCTTTCTATGTGTGCATGTATATATTATATTTTTCTATTTTTCATTAGTTTTTATTTTTATTTTGTAATTTTTAGTTTAGTGTGAGTTAGTTTCGAGATTGGGTTTCCTCGTTTCAGATTAGTTTATATTGTTTAAAAATGTTTAGTTTTAGTTTAGTTTTTATTAGTTTCAGTATTAGTTCTTTTTTTGGGGGGTATTTGTCAAGACTTAAGAAGTTCAGAATAGGTATTACAAACACCTCGACTCACAGTCCCAGTCTCAATGAACAGATGCCCCAGTGCCTCCTCATCCTTGTTGTGTTAGAATGAGGATTTTATTAGGATCTCCATGCAGATCAGCTTCTCTTTCTGCGGTTCACAAACATGGACAAATTTGAACAAACTGACAAAGACTAAACCCAAAGACATTTCCTGTATACTTTCATTTTATTTTAGTTCATTTTGTAATTACACAGAATCGTTTTTTTAGTTTTTAGTTTAAATTTAGTTCATGTAATGAATGAATGTCTTGATATAATAAAATAATGTTTGTATGTCTGTGTGTGTGTGTGTGTGTGTGTGTGTGTGTGTTAAAGCAGTGTTACTGCCCATGCCCCTTCCTTTGCCCCCAAGCAGCATCCAAGCCATGGCCAATAGCTCCACCTCCATCTGGCTGCGCTGGGAGAAACCACGCTTCAGCAACGTACGGATCATCAACTACACAGTACGCTGCAGCCCAGCAGGAACCACCAATGCCTCCCTGGTCTCCTATCACACCAGGTCAGAAATCATGTCTGTAATGTTTAAGATATACTGGCCCTGGATATCTGAAACTGTATCACTATAGTTTAAGATTACATCCCAAAGCCCATTTTAACAGTGTTCAGTGTAACTAAACCTAAACTGTGATGAAATGAACACCTTTAGAATTAGCATGATATTATTTGTAGAAATTGGTCACCAAAAAGAAAGAAATTCCTGAAGCATGCAAAAAATTGTATGTTAAATGTCTTTTTTTATTTAGTTTTTCTCTAAGGAAAGACCCTGAGAGGTCTAAATTAGTTTGTGTTTGAAGTCATTACATTCCTCCATTAAATAAAGGCTTTTAGTATACCTTGTCTGCTTTCTCTGCCTAGTAGTGCCAGAACAACCTTGCTTTTAGGTGACACACTGTGACGCCTCTAAGAGCGACTTGCCTCTGCATTTTTCTACATAAAAAATTGTTTTTTTTGGTTAAACACCAATCAAACCGATGCATTTCTCTTGTGTGATTTCTATATTATTTTAAGTAGCTCTGAGTTAACCATCATCTATACAATAAAAAAGCACATAATGTCCTTGCATTGACTTAACTACTACTCCTGTCCTCTCCTTTCTTGGTCTATCATATTTATGATATCAAGAATTGACTCAAATATGGAGTTGTTGGGCTAAAGAGGTGCATACTTGCAAGCAACAGTAAGCAATTGGTCAAGCAGAAGGCAGGTAATAAGAGTTAATAATATAAAGGTAATATATTATCCCCTTGAGTGGTCCAGCTAAATTAAGCAAAGTAATCTTTTTTCTGTCAGCACAGAATAGAAAACAAACACCACACACTCAGGACTTACCCTGTGTTTGTGTGTTGCAGCTCTGCTCAGGAGATACTGCTCGGGGCGTTGAAGCCCTTCACCCGCTATGAGCTGGCGGTGCAGTCTAATGGAGTGGACGAGGTGGGACCCTTCAGCGGCACAGTGGAGGAGTCTACTCTGTCTGACCGTGAGTCTCTACTGTGCTCCTATCAGTGCAGTCAGTTAAGTCCCTGAAGAGTTCCCTGTAGTTTTTTGTGCACGTCAAGTACTTTTTAACTCAATTGATATTGATGAATGAAAATGCTCCTTTGCTTTACAACCTTTGCAGTGCCCTTGAGCAAGTCACTTAACCTAAAAAGCTCAAGGGGAACTACAATATGCCAAAAATAGAGGAGTGTAGTTATACTGGGCAGCTGCAGCACAAGCTGTAGATATGTGTAAAAGTGTGGGAATATATGTTTTTTCTGGAAGAGGAAGAGGAGGATGCAGGGTCAGTGAACAATTTCTGTATTAACAAAGGTTAAAGAAAAAGTTAAAACTTAAATTTTAGGGTACTGCTCATTTCAATTTCACTCAGCCCAAAATACAGTTATAAGAGAACTTTATCCTGTTAGATTTACGGTTGGTCAGCTCTATGTCACCCATTTAAAAAAAATATATTACCTCTTGTCAATAAATAATTGATTTAATCTTGTTCTTGAAGTGCAAGAGCCTGCAAACGCTGTAAAATGTGCCTGTGTATGCAAGTGGGTGCATACTCACTCATGTGTGGATCAGTGTGTTGGCTGGCCAGTGGCCAGTGGACATGGGAATTACTAGTTGGCATTGATGGCTGATAACTGGCCGTAATGAAATACCCAGGTGTAGCAGTGGCTCTCACGTTGGCCAGCAGCTCTTGTCTGTCAGCCAAATAAGGGTGGTGAGTGGAGAGTGGGCTGCTTTTAAAGACATTACCACCAGTCACGCTGTCTTGCTCTCCGCTGCCATGTATCATCACCTGAGGCCCAGCCCATTCCCCCATTGCCCTGCTTGTCCCCTCTCTCCTGTACCCAGGTGGCGCGGACACGAGGACGCAGATGGTCTTCACACAACATGTCAAATCCCCTACCAAGACAATATACATTCCGCAGCTGTGAGGCCTCATTTCTGGGCTCTAATTACTGACCCAGTCCTCCTCTCTCCTTCAGGGCCCTCCACACCTCCAGAGGAGCTGCAGCTGAGCGCTCTGGACTCCTCCACTGTGCTGGTGAGCTGGCGCCCTCCACTGGAGCCTAACGGTATCATCATCAGCTACAGGATCTTGTACAGTGGCAACCTCAGCCAGCCAGAGCACCTGTGGGAAAACCTCTCTCAGGATGGTGGGTGCTGTCTGGCATGACCTCCTCACTGCGCTGAAAACATTTAATTTATTTAGTTCAAGTTCAGCGTACCCCTTTATCTTTATAATCCTTTTTTCAAGATATTTAGTAAAATTTCTGGCTCGAGGGAAACTGTGATTAAAAAGGGCCTGCACAGTGTTTTTCATTGAGTCTCTCTGCCTTCCTCAGGGAGTATTACCAGTGTGGAGGTCCAAGGTTTGTCCAGTGGCACACGTTACTTTTTTAAGTTGGGTGCATCTACTGAGGTGGGGCAGGGGCCTTATTCACCTGTAAAGGATGTTCACACCCCCCTTCCAAAATATGGTAAGTGTCGCACATACATAGGTGTCAATTATAATAAGAAAATAAATAATTCATTTTTAGAGCACTTGTAGCAAGGTTGTGGTAATAGTAGTAGCAGAGAGGTTAATATGCAACTGTTACTGTTGAAAGGTTTGTCAATTACTCAGCTTTATTAAAAATAGAAGTAAAGATTTAGGATATTTCAAAGAGGATAATTCAAACCACTTACATTCAGACAGATTGGTTTTAAAAGTCAAATAATTCAGCATTCAATATTCAGTAGTGGTTAAATGTCACAATATTTTAGCTGTTCAGTCATTCTCAAAAGATTACGGACATTTTTGCTTCCATATGTAGAAACACACAAGCGCATGCACTGCAGTCACACACATCAGCACACCTAAACACATTTTCACACAGACACACACACACAAACACACACATAGCCTTCCCTATTAAAGTGTGTAATTTGTCCCTGCCAGCAGGGAAAGTGTAGCTCAGTAGGACGCTGTTCTTTCGCTTTTCCTATTCTGGTGCATTTTGAGGATAATATTCTCTATAGTGTGGACATTAAAGGGGCGGCCTCATCAGCGACCCCCAGGGGAGAGCTTTGAATTACTGCTCTCTGTACGCAGCAGAATTGCTGAGAGAAGCACTTTCTTTACTCTCATGTCACTTTGTATTTAAGTTTGCAATCTCATTATACACTTTGAATTCCATCAGTCAGCATTTTAGCTTTACCTGTAATTATCAAATTCCCCCTTTGTCTTTAAACAGAGGGAGTCATAAATACAGAGCTATTAACACCCCTGTGAATTATCATCCAACATGCCCGTCAAACCCATTGTTCATTAAGGCAGTCCAACAATGAAAATAGTCATCCACCAACCTAAAACAAATATATTCCCAGTACTTTTTCCCCTTTACCTGCCTAAGTGCATAATTGGTGGGAAGTGATTAATCATTAAACTTCCAGATGCAATAAGCTGTGAGAATGCAGTTTTGTTTTTGTTTTTTGTTTTTACACAAATGCTTAATAAAAAGACAGAGTAACAGGTTTATTTTGTTCACATAAGCTGCAATAATGTGCCAGTATGCAGTGTGAATGGGACTGGGTGGCTGGTGGGTGGGTGAGAGCTCCTGCCATCTGTTTCCTCTCCTCTGTATGTCCAGCCTGCCAAATATATCCAGCATAAATGAATATCAATGAAGGTCTGCTCTCCCTAGTTGAATGTTGCCTCATATCTCATCACTACTGTTACTTTGTCTTAAATGAAGGAATCAATACATTCCCACAGAGTCTCTTTATACAGGCCTGAGCCAAATAGTATTTCAAACCTGATGTGTTATTATAATGCTTTTATTTTTTAAGACGGAGTTGTAGATATGAGGCAAAAATATATACTGGCAATAGATGAACTATGAAAACCAATGTGGCATATATTCATGGGGATGGCAACATTTCTGCCATGTTTAATGTTGGTTAGTTCTTAAATTTTTTCTCTTTTTCCATGTTATCTGGTATTTTTACAGAGCTGGACATCCATTCTGTGATAGGCATCATTGTCGGCGTGTGCCTGGGACTGATATGCATCCTCCTCTGCATGTGTTTCAGCTTTCGCAATGGCAAATCTAGGTAAGTTAACTCTAGAGTGCCAGTACTCGTACAGTAGGTAATGCACATCTGACTTCTTCTACTTACTTGGAGCTTACTTGGTTGTCTTACAAACAAGAAGCGAGCTAAATCAACCCAGGTAACTGTATAATAATGTTCAGTCTTCCATAGTGCCCAACTCCTATAGTATCCCTCTCATCTCTGCTCCAAATAGGGAGGTGTCTGGGGTCCTGGAGACAGCTGTGACCCCTCAGTACAGGAGAGGAAGCAGCCCGGTTCCCTCCAACGTGCCAGAGTGCAGTGATAGCCACGAGCTGGAGACACTGATGCCTCCAGCCAGCCAAGAGTCTGGTCAGCCGCTAGAAGAGGCCTCGGAGGAGCAGAGCCTGATGGCAAGTGCTAATCCAGGGGAGGGGGATGATGCCCCTGCACCTGAATCCAAGGTCAAAACCTGCATGTGGGGAGCTCTTTCCCAGATGTGCCTTGGACGCTCTATTATTTTTTCACATGTTGATAGAGGGATAATAGTAATTTTGGTGCATCCACTATGTTGTTATTCTTGCAGGCTGCTTGGAATGGATCTGTGAGTCATAACTGGGCCAACAGAATCACTAGATACAGAGACACCATAACAGAAGACTCTCCAACACTCATTAATGGAGCTCTCAACATGCTAATAACTGATAACGGCACGGTAAATTAACGTACTGAATTCAATAACTCATCTATTTTAGCTATCAACCTGTGTCCGATAAGCAACTAACTTCAACATCACTGGGTCAGATGGCTTTTCTCATGTTTGCTAAACTCCGCCCCCCTTAGTTACTGTATACCATGATATTGGGGAAGATGTACTAATAATTGTGATCATTGCTGATATGTGTTCATCATGCTGTGTGGATGTGTACTTTGCTATTTTAGACTGCCCACTGTACATATACATAACCAAATGTTTGAGTTACTTGGGTAGATAAACTAATAGAACGTTAACTAAAGGTGATATTGTTTTGTTGCAGGACTTAGAAGATCGTCTGTGTACATCCCTGTGCAGTAACCAGGTCGAGGCAGAAGTCATTGTTCACTCAGAGCTGTCAGACCCCGGGAAGGAGAAAGAGGAGGAGGGCAGCGAAAGGGAGAAGGATTCTAACTCCACCAGAGGACCCTCATTATCAGAGGACAGATATTCCCCTATGAGCCAGCTAAGCCCACCAGGAGAGGAGGACACTCTAGAAAAACTATCACTGGCTCAAAGCCCCTTGAGTCTTCCCTCGATAAAGTTGGTGGCCAATCACAATTGGGAGCTAGAATGCATGGGAGACAAGCCAAACGCAGACTTAGAGCCACAGCAGGACATGGGGCTAACCAATGGCTTCCACTCCCCAAAGACGGTGCGTTCTGTGCTGAGGTCAGAGCATCTGGAGAATGGGGAATCCAGACATTGCCCTTCGGCACCAGGAAAGGCCATCTCTGCAGGGTTGTCCCCTGCCCCCTTTGTCAGCTCCGGCCTTGTCCACTCTACCTCAGCAGCACACAGTTACCTGTGCCCGTAGCCTCTGCATGTAGGGCATTGATCCTTACACACACATATAGACATCCGACTGATTTTCTTTCTTTTACGTACCCAGGAAAAATCCCAAGGATTATTTTTATGCACCTCATTATTGGATTCCTTTCTCTTCCTTACAAAGTTTTTATAGGTGTACTATGTACTTTGAATCCATTTCATACGTGTGTATATACAGTATATTTTTAGTGGTAGAGTATTGTATATGGGTATTCATTCTCTAGCATTGCAACCATATTTTCCTCTGGGTTTCTATCCTGACCTTTAGGAAAGAAAGATTCAATTTAACCAAGAAGATGGAAGTGGATTGAAGGAGGCTATTCCCACTGTGTCGCACATGGCTCTGTTCCACTCAGGAATGAGAAAGCCTGGAATGTTCTGTGAGCGAGTGAGACAGGCTATCTTTGTGGATGAGAGGATCGGAGGCGCAGCTCAGTAGGTCTCCATGGGCTTTGTCGTGTGGATGCTACTTCACTGAGTGGCACTGAGGAGTAAGCCTTAAAGAGTATCTGCACACTCTGAGAGTGCAGAACACCTGTGTCTCTCTCCAGCCTCCTGCTGTCTCAGGGTCCACACACACACACACATACACACACACTGAAACACACACAGAAAGCTAAAGTACAGCTGATTCCACGGTCACCCATAAACACACATTTACGCACACACATTTCCTGACTGAAGTGTGGGGGTCTCAGGTGCCTAATTATTGTAGGTGCATTTATAACCTCTGTATATTTCTACAGTATAGATGATTATATTCAGTACAAATACAAAACAGATGTCACCATGAAGGAAAAAACACTCAAAATGTAAAAAGATAAGGAGGACACAGATTTGGTACATATGAAGTATTCTTTTCTAAAATGCCATATATCCATGTGGTGTGATTTTTTTAAACCAGGGTCTCTCAGTTGAAAAGTAAAAAGTGGTTTTGCTGTAATTTAGATGGTGGATATCTCATTTTGGAAACTAAGTATTTACATGTTAATGTTGGTATTGGTTAAATTTTGTTGGTGGGAGAACTAGAGACACAACTCATCTGTAGACCACTCTTCTGGTTTGGCTCCCGTTTAGGGGTGCACCAATGTAAGCCTGTGCCATTAGTTGTCATTTTAAACTCAGTATAATATATTTTTTTTATGTGATTGCCATGTTTTTAATTTGAGGGAAATTCAACTTGACTCTACAAGCCTATCTGATTCCAGCTGTATGAGAAAACTTCCACTATGTTTAACTATGCTACAGTACCAGAAACCAACATAAGATGATTAGAAATGTCTGAATTTATCAGATAGGAAAGGATTCTGATGGGAAAAAATAAATAAATGTGCTCTAATTTTTTTACATTGACCCTAAACTGTTCAACGTATTCTTTATGTATTTGATCAGAATGCTTTTGCATAATTGACTGATATGTGAAGCTGAGTGAGTCAGTATTGGTTTTGGCAGTGGAAAAGGGGAACTGGTGCATCCCTACTACTTATCAACAACACTACCTCATTTCTTTTCAGGATGGTTTCCAGTGTGGTTTTATTAGTTTTATGTAACTAGCACCTTTTTATGATCTCTTTCTTAACTTGTCTGATTTTACAGCCTTTGGTATTTGCAGAAATAATCGTCCAACACTGACTGTACATTCTTGTGTTACTTCAAAGAAATGAATGTTGCTATAGTACATTGCAGCTTCCTCTCTGATCTCTGAAAGATTGTGTCATTCATTTGTATATTACTGCTTAATCCTCACAGAAGGCAAAAACACCCAGTGTCTTTGATATGAAGCACCTTAAACTAGGTCCAGCCAATTTAATCCAATTGCAGTTTTGAACCTGATTCCAGTCAAACTAACTATAAACTAGGAAAGCGCCTACCGAAAACTTGTGCCACCTGCAGGCAATGAGTGTTACTGCTACATGTGTTCCCTTTTTTTACAGGTTCTGTTTCAGTGTGTGACTGATGTTGGATGTTGATGATATACATCTTTACAGTGCTGACCATTAAAGGAACGGAGAGCCGGAAAGTCCTAAATAGATGAAGCTTTCCTAGCTTATTAGTTATTTTGCTGTCTGAGTAACATGTGGCTTTTGCTACACTTCTGTTCTGATAATGGACATGTCTTTATTCACAAGATAGAGTTAGTTTGTGAGTAAGTTACAGGCTGGTTCCTTTAGGTGCTTCACATCAAAAAGACTATTTTAAGGACTTTTTTACTTATCACAAAACTCATTTCATTTTGAAAGGGCGAGGGATGGATGAGTGCGATATAAACTACAGGTATCTGTGTGATTCTGAGACAATGGCAAGTTTGCCAATGTTGGGATCCATTAGTAATAATGATAATAATAATAAACAATAACATAATAATATCCACTTCAAAGATTGACAGAATTAAGCAGAGCATTGGGTCCAGCCCTGTTGTGTGATGTCTCATCTTCTCTCAGGTGGCTTTCTTTTAGTCATCCAGCAGTGAAAAGGACACCTCTTTTTCACTGCTGCACAAACCCATTCTATCCTTGTTTCTACCCATGTCCATGCAAGTGTCAAAATCTCACCAGCTCAACTCAATCACATCAGCAACAGAAATGTAAATGGTTGTTTATAATTGTGTTTTCTCTAAAACCTATATTGTTCTTTGATTTCCTGAACAAAATGCATGGTTGTTACCTCAGAGAGACTTATTTTTTTAGCCTTGCCATGTATGTACTTTACTGCAATAGCAGTCATATAGGGACAGAAGTGAATGTGTTCTTTGCAAACCTGGGTCAGACACTGATTGGAAGGTCTTTTTTTTTGGGGGGGGCAGTGGAGGTTTGCCACATCAGGAGAATTTAGATTTTACCACCTGTCTGCAACATCAATTTTTATGAAATACCTTTTTATCAGACCTAAAATGCATGGCACTCACTGTACTGTGGCAAACCACATTTAAATGGTACATAAAGAGCAATTCAACAGCAAACTTACCTATGGCAGGAATGTGCTGCTGCACCTCTCAGCTCACCAATTTAAAGTGGTAACCATGTTTTATTCCTGGCCACACTGCAGCTAGTGATGTTGGAGGAGGTTTCCATCAGCTGTTAAAAGTAAAACACCTCCTGTGACATCATTTTGGGTGATAATTTAGATGTATAGAGAGCTGTGCAGCCGCAGCTTTTTGCCCTGTGGTTTGATGATCATTTGCCCTTTATATGCAGTGAGCTAAAGCAAACCACCAAAAGTATGTGTAAGCGTGTACATTTTTTATCCAGGTTCTTTACTGATACTGTTTATATCAATACTGTTTTTCATCATCCTTAAAAGCCACTAATGTCCTTAGTCCAGAAAGAAGCATAATATTCTCAAAAGCATTCCAGTTTGATATCGTGAACATACCTCTCTCAGTCCAGGTCAGCCATGATTAGCCATGCTACCTTAAGAAGAGACGTGCTAAGAACCCCAGACTGTGTTTCTGTTGCTCTGATAGGTTTCATCCAGACCTGGGTTCAGTGCCACCATTCACTTCACCAAGTGCAGATACTGAAGCCTAAGCTGCAGAGTTTGCAAAACAGCTTGGACTATGACAAGTGGATGGAGGTCACTGAATCAGGGCCTGTAAGATAGTGTTTCAAATAAGTTGTCATGGAGACAAAATTGACTTTCCAAACATTTCCTTGTGATTGTTTATATCTTAGGAGTATAAAGTGAAGTTGTCTGTCACCCAACATGGTTATTTTTATTATGAAACAAACAGCTGTTCACCCTTCCGTGTGAAAAAGAAAAGTCTGTTGTCACTGCCGGCAAACCACAGCCATTTGGCAATCAAGTAGACTAACATAAATTGCTGTGGTGCTTTTCTGCCCAGGAAGTAAATTGTCTACATCACTGCACCAATTTGTTCTGATGGACATTTAACACATTTGGAAATGAATTGATTTGTGCCAGTGAGTTGCAATTTTGGGAGGGTATTCGGTTTAGCAAAGACACTATCACATCTGTGATGCAGGAAGTGGAGTAAGTGATACTGCAGCTGCCAAAATCTAATGTAACATTTCAGCTAGACATTGAAATGGCACAGTTTAGATGGATTTTAGTAACACAGTACTTAGTAACCCCCCCCCCCACATGCAAATATTTCAGTTCAATCACGCTGTTTTGCCTGTGTTTTAAGTCTTGATGCAGTAATGGATTATTATGGTGTGTGTGGTGCTGACACAGATGATCTGAAAAGGGGGTTTGCATAAATCCTGCCTCCAGCATAAATGATCCTGCTCATGCTCTCCTTATAGAAGCTCTATTAACTGTTTTAACCGCTATCTTTTCAATACATGTAACCTTTTGTTCCCCTTTCTTCATCTTTTCGTTGGCTAGAACATTAAGATTTGTTTGGAGGAAAATTACATACGCTCATTACTTTGATAATTTTGTTTATTTCATCCTCCTCTGTAAGGGTTTAGTTAAACAGTATACCTCATGTTGGTAACTTGTTTATTTGATTCTGATCAGTTTCTTGATACTGCACATTTTGTATCAATTAGGACATATACATATATAGGTACGCATCCTGTTTTTTGTGAGCCAAGTTTTTTTATGTAGAGGATGGGATTGACTGTTTTGTTTTACCTCAGTGGGAGTTTTTACTCATTACAGTGGCCTGGATGGTCTAGTCTAGTGGTGAGGGGGTAAACAAACGAGGGGAGGAGGGGTCAGTGGAAGTCATCTAAATTGACTTTTACATTGTTATTCTTCAACAGTAGTTTTTACCTGCCTTTTTAAAGAGTTTGAAGTATGGGTTCACCAAAATGGCACTCTTGCTTCAAAGAGAAATGGAGAAAAAAGCAAAGATGTGTCTGCTTCTGATGAATAACAGTAAAATAAGAGTCACTTTTCAGCAGAGTACCACTTTAACACAACCCAGGTAACTGAAGTAATAGGCAGGGAGAGGGCTAAAGGGAAATCCTCCCCGGGCAGGTCATACCTCTCAGTACAGACAGCCATTTCAAAATAATTGTCTCTTCTCTTCTCAGGTTGCATAAAAATAGTAGAGGATCATGCCAGCATATCCAGCTCAGATACATGTCATTTGTTGTCAAACAAAGCCTCATTTTGTCCTTTTGCAAGTAAATCAAGGAAACACTTATGCATAGATGATATTTTGTTTTGTACAAATCATTCAGTGTATTTCTGTCTCTGGCTCTTCTCTGTACATTCTGGTGCTTTGTGGTGAGCTGCTTCGTCCAGTGATGTCACATTGTTGTGCATTTTTTTCTACGTATTCTTCCCTAGTTTTGTGTGTACCAGCTCAGCTGTGCTTCTCAGAATGTGTAAGCACAGACTCGGACTCTGTAGTCATGTGCCACCAGCGACGCTCTGTAGCTACTCAGACACGTTTGCAATCATTGTGTGCTGAACAAGACCTCATCCATGTCAAAAGACGCTACTGTAGGAGCAAATTGTCAGAGCACTTATAAGATTAGCACTTGTTTTTGGGCCAGGAGCAACTTTGGATCTTTACATTTCTAGAAGTGCAATTTTCTTAGTCTGTAAAATGACCGATGGATTACTCAGTGTTAGTCATGGTGACCGTAGCCATGATTTGTGATAGAATCATTGCTTGTTCAGAGGAATTGTCACAGGATAGGCAGTACTTGTGGTTTGTAGAAATATTTCCACTGTGTTACCATATGTGAAAATGTCAGAACTCACAGCTACTCTAAGATGTCTGTGGAAACTACTCTTCTGTAAATAAACATCAAAGAAAGGTGAAAGTACGGCTCAGTGTGATATTTAGAATTTCGCCCATTCTGTGCCTTCTTCGGCCTAACTTGCATCTCACTTTAATTTTATTTTTCCATAACTTATAGCTTCAAAGATTTATCAATTTAACTCCCTGTGTGACTGTTTTTCCTGGCATTTACATTCCCAAAAATGACATTTAAGATGCCAGTGAGCTGGGCTTCTTGGGATATTTCTTGTCATATTCCAGTCATTACGACCTTTATATTATATCTCAGTGTATGATATATCGTGCTGTGCTTGTTTGCATTCACAGATTCAAATTTGCATCACCCTCCTAACTGTGGGAAGGGAATTCAAGAAGAGCCCTGCAGATGATTATTTCTTTATGTTAGATTTTTAGTATTTTGTTTACATTTATATGTATCTTCAATACCATTTAATGCAACAGTTTAATATTTTAAGAAACAGACTTATTAGCAAGGAAGGTGAATAAACATAATGCTCAAAATGATCTAAGTAATTAGTTCAATTCTGTGATTTGTAGAGCCTTTCTGTGTTAACTGAGGCAAGAACTGTTACTCATCAGAAAGTGTTAGACTAAAAGGGATATTTTCTTAGAAGATAATTATTGAAGTTGCACACTTTTATACAGTGTATGAAATCACAGGAATAGGAGAAACTGAATGGAGTTACTTTGTTAAAGTGACTGCCCCAGTTACACTTCAGGATAATTGCTTACACACAAAATATGACGTCTCTAAGGGCCCAGGCTACAGTTAAATAAATCCTGCATAGTAATAATGGGCCTCCCAGCTTCCCTTTGGGCACACACATCATCCAGGTAAAAGGCCCTCAGATGCTCTGTGTCCCACCCTTTTCACTCCAGCATAGCCTTTGGGTAATAATCAGTCATATTTAAAGACGTCGTTCTTTTACATACCACATGGGGGCAGTGTGATCCTTCACAATGATTCCAGAAAAGAAGCATAGTAACCTGGTGCCACTCCCATTAACAGAGACTGCTGCCTGAGTGCTGGACCTCGTGCTGCTCTGACCTCATACCTGCCTTGGCTGTAGAATTGTGCAAATGTATGGCATCCTATATATTCATTGTATTACCTTCTCCAGCAGTGGAAAGGAAAAATATAAGTAAAAAAACCCCCAAAAAAACAATGTCTTCATCAGACTGATTTTTTTCTCGAAAAACGAAATCCTAATGTCATCAAATACAAAAGGTGTGAGAGATATGTGTGTGCGTGTACAAAAAATGCATATCGGCTTATTGTCAGTCTGTAAATGCCTGTGTATGTAGTGTGTGTGTGTGTGTGTGTGTGTGTGTGTGTGTGTAAGCGTACATGGTGGGTTGGGTGGGTGTATGTGTGCACAGGGGAGACAGACAGACAGGCTGACTGAAAGAAAAAAGACAGAGAGGGAGGTGATGGAGATAAGAGGGTGAGATGAGGGCGCAGAGTTAAGACAGGAGCACTGAGGCGGCATCACATGGCAGAATCCCCTGAAGAGTCAGATAAAAGCCCTCGCTGAGCGACAGAGGGGTCGGGCTCACTATCTTCAGCCACTCATCACTGTTAATCAGCAGGCGAGGCTCCTCTGCAGAGGACTGACAGGGGACACATATGCACAAACCCACACAATATCAAACCCCCACGCAGAAGGACAAATACAAACACGCATGCATGCACTCTCATACTTTACTGTACTCGCCTGATGCATCTGTCTAAATGTGTATTGTTAGTGTGTACACTGTATTTCCATCCTCCAGCAGCTGAGTGGTCTCTGCTACTTCAGCATGCCTCATATTTTACCGTAGAGGCAGACGAGTGGAGCGCAGAGAGTCAGGTGAGGGCTGGGCTCTTGAGGTAGAGCTCACTGCCTGTGGGGAAATAACTGTACGAAGCTCTTGATTCAGCCCATTCATTCTGCCTCTTCCCGCTTCTGCTACTACACTACTACAGTCTCCACCTTCAGCATCAGCTCTGCTTGTTTCACAGCTGAACTGTATGTGCTCTCTGTCAGTTCAAAGCATACAGCAGAAGACCTCCTGGGCTGGCAAGTATTTGCAAATCATTCTTTGATGTGGTTGTGGAAAATGGAGGCTGTCCTATCCAGTTAGCCACAAAACATAAAACAAAGATCAGGTTTGAAACTCCAGGAGCAGGAACGCCCCCACAAAAGTAGTTATTTTTGTACAAAATAAAAAAGGCGTTTATTTATTTATAACATGACATTTCAACGTGGTGCCCTTCCTTCACTGGATCCCAATGATGTCTTGTATCTTTATCACTGTATCATGAGCATCCAGTTTAACATTATCCTGACATTTCTACAATTGTCTTCCCTGTATTGTACTGTAAATCTTGTCCTCTGTGTAGGTAAAAGTGTTACGTGCATTAGGTTTGATGCTAGTTTATTTATCTTTGGATATTGGATGGTTCAATTTCAACCTCTCACGCTAAAAGCATTATATTGACCGCATTCCCTTTCCTTCGACTAATCCTGCTTTACATCTCCATATAAAAGCTGTTGGTGTTGTAGTGGGTGTACTTGTAGTTGACATGTGGTGATGACATGGTTACAGGTCTGGCGCATGACCTTAGCTGAAAGTCATTCCATCTCAGCTGTCTTTCCTACCGTTGGTCTTTAAAAAATACATCAAATTGTGTCCTATTCTTCTGTGCGGATGCTTGATATTTACACCATTTCCTTCTCTCCATGTTAAAAGTGAAATAGTATTCTGATTTCACAACCACACATGTGGCTGTCGACATGCATGACCCTATTCCTGTGTATATCAGCATCTACATGTGTGTCCACTCACTTTCCCTGAATTCATCTGGTTATTCTATGGAATTACTATAAGAAGTAATGCTCCTCACAGATAAGTCTTTTCTCAATGTCAGCCCTACTGCGGGTTATAACCTGCCAATCAAATATTCCCCAAACTAAACAGACACAGCCTGAGGAGAAAGATAATGAAGGAGGATGGGATGGAAGATAAGTGAATGAAGTCAGGGAGAGGGGGATTTGAGAGGAGGAAGTCATCTGCTTTATTTGGACTACATATCTCTGGAATTATATTAAATCCTGTGTGCTTTACAATAAGCTTTAATATGCCCTATAAAGTAGCTGTAAAAGGTGAGCTCACAGGGGCATGGCTGGCAGAGAAACCAGGGGGCTGTCAGTAATGGCTGTGGACTGTTTGCCCTAGCTTCTTCTCTCCCCTGGGTTCTGCATGCCGTTCTTCATTCACTGTTGGGTGGACACAATAGGACCCCAGAGGGGTAGCAGCTTTAAGCTCTATACCAATTTTCTATACTACAACCACAGGCAAAATGTGACACTTATTTGAAGAGAAGAAATCTTGTATCCTTGACTCCCTTCACTCCCCTTTTTTTTTTTTAGTTTTTACTTTTACCAGTCTTATCCTTCGTTTTCTTCTCCTACTTGCAGCCCAAACCACGCAGGTCCATGGCTGATAAGGGGATGCCTTGTATCTGGTAATGGACTGACAGCACGCCTGTCACTTGCTTTACATTGGGCCAAGAGTGAGTTGATCCAGCTATAGTTGTGCGCCAACCATGGCAATGAAAACCTTCAGCTCTGGGCAATGCATGTGGATTAAAGCCTGCATGTTGCCTGCCAGTGAGGACTTGCTCAAAGTAAAGTGCTGGCTCCTGGCCATCAGTCATCCGACAAGGGTTTTACTTGCTCTTACATTATATCCAAGCCTGACCTGATGTCAAAGCTGCAGGAGCTCAAATCTCTGCATACATTACACCAGGCCTGGAGTCACATACTCTCTGCCAGTGTTTATTGTAGCAATACAAAGCTATACATTTCTAGATCTGTATTTTTGTCATGAAAATTTGTATGTTATTTTTTGCTGATGTAGTCTGTACATATGACATCTACTGTATGGAAGAGGGATCCCTCCTCTCTAGCCCTTACTGATGTCTCTCAAATTTTCCCCATCAAAGGGGAGATGAGGGGTGGGGGGGGGGGGGGGGTTCTTTACAAAAATAGA